TTGCTGCCCTTATATTATCCTAGACTAGTTTTATATTCGTCATACGATATTGATCTACATTCAGAAAGCGTTATTAGCAGAGTATACAAACTTGAAAAAACATCTCTATTAAAAGTGATATCCCAAAAAACAATAAAAAAAATAACAGGGATATACACCTTGTGCAAATAGACACATTACATTACATTACAAAGTGAACTGTCATATACGACCTATTAAAAGTGATATTCCAAAAAAAACACAGTGAGAAACGAGAAAAACAAAAACACAAATGTAAACATTATGCTACCAAACACCCTACATTAATTGCAACATATCCTAGACCAGGGGTAGGCAACCTTTAAGCAGCACTGTGCCGAAATAGGATTGTGATGTCCTGTAGCATGCCGGTCCTATTTATTTCAAATTAAGCGTCACATGATACCTATGAATGTGAACTATGTATGCAGGCTGCTTGTGGAATTGTGTGTATGGATGGATATGTCACATAGTGTGTTTGGTGGTGTGTATATGTGCGGGGATGTTTGGGGTATTTCATATGAGAGACTGTATGTGGATTGTTAGTGGTGTTGTTTGTGCGGATTGTGTTTTGCGTTTGTGTATGGGCTGTTCGTATTATTTGTATGAGGGGAGGGTTATTCTGCATTTCTGTGTATATCTAGCAGTGTGGTTGGCTTCCCTGGGTTCCAGTGGACCAGGCTGACCAGGTACAGGTCAAGGACAGGAGCTGCAACAACAGCTGCGGGCTGCTCTACTCCAGTGTGCATTCCCATTCACAAGTGCTGGGAGGAAGTGATCTGAGATCACCACCTCTACATGCTGCAGTGCATAAATTGAGGATTGTCCTTCACCACCTTTTTGAACTAGCCGATAAATGACGTTTCCCTGGGACTTCTGATAGGCCAGAACCTGTTTGCTCTAGCAGCCTTGAGTGCCGTGCAAAGACACCTCGAGTGCCGTGCATGGCACACGTGCCATAGGTTGCCTACCCCTGTCCTAGACTAACTTTATATTATTCATGCCATAGTGTTCTACATCCACAAACCGTCACTGAAAGTGTGAGCTATTTATTTAAAATCTTGAAAACATCTCTATTAAAGCTGATATCCCAAAGAGCTTTGAAAAAAAGAAAACAAAGTAAAACAGTTCCTTCTACTTTAATAAATTGCTTTGATTAAATGGAACACAGATTACTTTTTTTTAGTTTGTTAACCAGGATGCAAGCTTCTCCCATAAATCAAAAATTTCTGTTGTTCCATTCCAGGTAACTCTAGTATTTGTTGCAAGAAAACCCCATCTGTAACTGATGTTATGTCGTCTCAAAGTGCTAACAATTAAATTAAAATTTCTTCTCCATTTCCTGGTATAATAGAGATCTTGAAAGATGCTCAGAGTTTTACATTTTTCTTCCTGAAGAGGATTATTTCTTACAGCTGACATTACTGTGACTTTAGAATAGTAACTATGACATTTCACAATTACATCTCTTGGATGTGAATCAGGAATCTTAAGAGGTCTAGGCAGTCGATGAAACCGATCTGATAAGGAATTGTGTTTTTCTCCATTCCGCATTAGAGATCTGAAGTATTCCAGAAGAAAATCTCGAAAATTCTGATTTGAAACTGTTTCCAGAATATTACAAATCCTGATATTTCTTCTAAAGCGTTTTGTTTGACCTCTAGTATATTTATTTTATCTGACAGCACAGAGGTGGTATCCTGCAACTGGTTGCAGTGTGTCTCCAGTTTAATAAATTAGTCTTTAATGCTAGATAACTTATCAGTAATGTCCTTCATTTCATGCTTAAAGGAACACAAACATGTATTACTGACCATATAGTGTTAAATCCATTATTTAGCCCCTCTGCCCCATCCCCCTAAATAACGCAACATCTTACATTTATTCCAATCTGTTGCTGCTGCTGGCACTACCACTTATCTGCCTGCTTCACTGACATCATCAGAAGTGGTGTCCTGAGCGAATCACAATGCTTTCACATAGGAAATTATTGGATTAGCTGAGAATGTCAAGGAGGCAGAGCCAGCACAAGCCAAACAGCCGTGACCAAGCAGCATCTCCGAGGAGAGATGCATTGAATCAATGCATCTCTATGAGGAAAGTTCATTGTCTTCATGCAGAGGGTACACTAAATGGCACTGCCCCAGGAAGCACCACTAGTAGCCATCTGATGGGTGGCCAGTGGAGGTATCCCTAGGCTGTAATGTAAACACAGTGTTTACTACAAAAAGCCTGAAGGAAATGATTATACTCACAAGAACAAATACAATAAGCTGTAACTGTTCTGATCACTATAAATTCTGTAGTGCTAGATGTAATGAGTCCTGCAGGAACGCACGGGAACGGCGTTCCTGCACTTTTTCCAAAGCAGGAGCGCCATTCCCGCTAGTGATCTTGCAGGACCGGCCCAGGGGGCGCAATGTCACTGTGCTGCCTCATTTCTCCCAGTCCCCAGCATAGTGCCGCCCACAATACACTGTCTGCTGTTGGTGGTATGATGGTGGTAAAGATGCAGTAGATGTGCTCACCCTACTCTCCCCCGCGGTAGTTTACTGAGGAGTGAAGCCTGCAGTGGGCGGGGCATTTTACATCACTTCCTGTCAGGCCCTGCTAGAGGATTACCAGCAGGGAAGAGCAAGAACATCTGTTTTCAGCTACTTACACCACCAACGGTAAGCAGCCATGTTTTATTTATTTTTTCATGAAATAATAATGTACCTAGCACAGAGCTCCACAGAGCTAAATCTTATAGTTCATGTGGAGCTCTGTCCCCTTTCAGCCATCCCCTTTCCCCCATCACTAGCAGCCATCTTCCTCTCCCACATCACTAGCAGCCATCCCTCACTCACCCCTATCACTAGCAGCCATCCCCTTCTCCCCCATCACTAGCAGCCACACATTCTCCCCATCACTACCCGCCATTACTCTCACCCCTATCACTAACAACAATCCTCCTTTCTCTGTTACTAGTAGCTATCATCCTCTCTCCCTCCCATTACTTGCAGCCATCCCCCTCTCTCCCTCCCATCACTAGCAGCCATCCCTCTCCTCCTCTCATCACTAGCAGTATATGTCTGTTTATGTATGTCTCTTTATGCCTTTCGTCTGTCTCTTTATAACTGTGTGTAAATCTCTGTATGGCTGCGTCCGTATGTCTCTGTATAACTGTGTCTGTATGCCTTGTTCTGTATGTCACTGTATGACTGTATCTTTGTTACTGTATGACTGTGTCTTCATGTCTCTGTATGACTGTGTCTTCATGTCTCTGTATGACTGTGTTTTCATGTCTCTGTATGACTGTGTCTTCATGTCTCTGTATGACTGTCTGTGTGTCTCTGTATGACCATCTGTGTGTCTCTGTATGACCGGTTGCCTGTATGTCTGTGTATGACTGTCTGTGTGTCTGTGCATGACTGGTTGCTTGTATGACTGTGTTTGTTTGTGTTCCTTTTACGACTATGTGCCTGTATGGTAGTGCCTTTGTGCATGTATGTATTTGTACCTGTATATCTATGTCTGTATGGTTTGGGAGGAAAAAGCCAGCAATGGGGATCGTGGTGGGAGAAACAGACACAGAAAGGGGCTAAAGGGAGAAAGAGACACAGAAAGTGGCTGGGGGAAAGAAAGAGACACACAAAGGGGCTGGGGGAAAGAAAGAGACACACTAAGGGGCTGGGGCAAAGAAAGAGACACAAAAGGGCTGTGAGGAGAAAAGAGACACACAAAAGGGGCTGATGAGGAAGTAAGAGAAACACAAAGGTTGTGGTAGGAAGAAAGAGATATACAAAGGGCCTGGAGAGGGAACACAGAGTGTGCTGGGCCCCCGTGTGCAGCGGCTGGCTCTCTCCACCATACCACCGGACCACCAGGCGATCTTCCCCCTCCCTGGCAAGGTAAGAATATAAACACATAAATTTAAAAAAAAAATGCTTCCCCCCCGATCATCCAGCACACACACACACACTTCATCCAGCACACACACACGCATCATCCAACACACACACACACACACACACACACACAACATCCAGCACACACACACGCATCATCCAGTGCACACACACACACATCATCCAGCACACACACACACATCATCCAGCACACACACGCATCTTCCAGCACACACGCATCTTCTAGCACACACACATTTTCCAGCACGCACACATCTTCCAGCACACGCACACACTGCATTCATTACACACAATCTGCACTTACTATAAACACACTACATTCATTATACACACTCTGCACTCATTACAAACACACTACATTCAATATACACACTCTGCACTCACTACACACACTGCATTCATTATACACACTTTGCACTCACTACATTCACTATACACACTCTGCATTCATTATGCACACTCTGCACTCACTACAAACACACTACATTCACTACACACACTGCATTCATTGTACACACTCTGCACACACACTGTACACTCACTACAAATACACTACATTCACTATACACACTCTGTCTGCACTCACTACATTCACTATACACACTCTGCACTCACTACAAACACACTACATTCACTACACACACTGCATTCATTATACACACTTTGCACTCACTACAAACACACTACATTCATTATACACACTCTGCACTCCCTTCAAACACACTACATTCATTATACACACTCTGCATTCACTACAAACACACTACATTCATTATACACACTCTGCACTCACTACAAACACACTACATTCATTATACACACTCTGCATTCACTACAAAAACACTACATTCATTATACACACTCTGCACTCACTACAAACACAGTACATTTATTATACACACTGCACTCACTACAAACACACTGCATTCATTATACACACTCTGCACTCACTACAAACACACTACATTTATTATTCATACTCTGCATTCACTACAAACACACTACATTCATTATACACACACTGCACTATAGGCATAGGAGTGTAAATAAATTTTTTTTGGGGGGGAGGGCGGGAATCTTGGGTGAGTTCCCACACTTTTTTCCCCAGGACTTGACCCCTGGTAATATCCCTCTTTATTGAATAAAGGTGCATCTCCGGGCAGTTTGTTAGCAACTCTTGAGTGAACAATGTTTGTGCCTGTGGTTCAAATGCAGGAGTTTCATTTGCTAGTAATACATCTTCTAAACTCTTTTGGCTTGATTGAGATTTTTTGGTATTGAGAAAACAAAACTGGGTGTAAATCTTTTTTCTCTTTTTTCTTTTTATCTCCATGAGGCTTTCTTGCAGCCATATCTGGAGAAGAGGGGAAAAAACACACGAAATTCAAGCATTACCAGAAGCCTCTTGACTATATAGTGCTACTCAAGATCACCTGTCTCTTCTGAAGTTATAAAAAACTGAAATTTAAGAGCAACAGAATTTTCCAAAGAAGATGAACATTCAGCCTACAGGATGCGACTTCAGGCAGCAATATATTTTAACATTCAGCCATAAGCATAAAACGTTGCATACTACAGAAAAATCAGAGTCCCTCTTGATTATATACCAAAGGTAAATTCACATCTAGCTGTATACAATGAATGCAGATTTAAAAGACAGCATGGTGGATTAGGGCAGAATACAGTGCTTATCAGTTATTACAAACAATAATATGTGAAATTATCCAGTAGCAAAGATCCCACAGCAGTCAGCCTGCCTATAGTGGTGACATTTATGAGAATCACGAACCCTTATATGCAAAAAAACATAAAAACCCTAATGCAATATAAAAGACCAGTGGTTAAAAGGGGGTAATTATTCAAATAATTTACCCTATAACATAGTAGTTGTTTAGAAGATTCCTCGGATCTTCTGAATATACATATACATAGAGAAATAAACAACCTACAAAATAAAATCAGAAAGGACAACAAATGGTACAGACCAAAAAACACCAGATAATAGCTAGTGTAAAAATGCACTCACAAGCATAAATTTAAAACAGGCAGAATATAAAAATACCGGTAGAACTTCTTTCTTCTCTACTTCCCAACTTCTGTGCTTGTTAGGAGAGAAGAAACAAAACACATTGTGCAACACTTTATTTTATGCACTCACAAGATAATTAAAAAGTAAAAGCCCATCACAGTTTCTTTACTCTTGGGAGAAATTCTGTATACAACCCCCAGGAACCAGAAATCTGTTGTGAAGACAATCAGTAAAATACAGGAAAAACTGTGTTCTCTCAACCTATGGGTTTCATCTATAAATAGACTTCCTCAGAGGTATTCAGCGTGTGTCTGACAATTCTACCAAGTCCTGGGTTTAAAAACCCTGCTTAGCTCCTCCCAAATCAACATTGCTTAAAAAAAATCTATACCTAGTATCAGTCAAAGTTAGCCTGAAATTAGATAAATACCATCAAGAACCGAACTATAGGCATAGCCCATACTCCATACATATTACCGGTAGATGTAACGAGAGATCCTTAAGTGCTAGCGTTCCCCACCCGGGGTACTTGACTTCTAAGATTGCCGAGCTACTGAAGTCCTGCTAACAATCCTCTTGCTTGCGTCTAAATAGATATGGCTCCAGCACTAATAAACCCTATTGCACCTTTGTGGGTGCCAAATTAATGAAAATCCCTATATCTAGGGTTAAACTCTCTTGTCTACCTAGTTATCCCTACCAAAGATCCTCACCAACTCCTTTTATTTCCCTCACATAAATTAAATATCCAAAGAGTAAAGTGGGAAAATGTGAATCATTTCATAGTGCTGTAGTGATCTAAAAGCATCATAAAGAGGACCCGATGAGCGTTTTGGTGCTAAAAATGCACCTACGACACCTGACAAAGGTGTGTTTATAGCACCAGTCTACCTAGTATTTTCCAGTCTATAGTATATCTACTTATCATTTCCCTATACCAGAATACCTCCTATTTTTAATGCAAGTAAGTCAACAGTTTAGGTGTTCTCTCCCAAATAATCCACTTTACAAGCCAACCAAAGTGACGTCATACGTCCTCTTCCCTAAGCTCTGGACATTTTAGTAAGGTTCTTTGTAAAGTTTGTAGACATTAGGAAAGTTTTAGGCAAAAAAAAAAATGCAGTGGGTTTTTAATTTAAAAAGCCTTGACCCTGTTGGTCTTAAGTTAGATTTTGATTTCTTCAACTTTTTATAATAATTTCTATACATTTTTAAACATCTTTTATTCGTAAGGATAGAAAAACAAGTAACAAAAGAGGTGAGAACAGACAACAGCTCAATCCCCGCTCAGATCTCAAGCTGGTTTTAGCTCAACTTGTTCCATTACAGAGCGAACATATCTGAAGCAAATCAGACTGGTCCCACCCGTACAGGCAGTCCAGATCCGAAACGCCAGCAAGTTCAATCTGCATGAGACATACAGCAACCCCAGACGATTGTTTCAACCTTGTAAGGTTGAGGTATCAGTGAGGTATAACCAATAATCAATATCCCTCTAGGCACTGTGAGCAAGAGGTATAGCCAATATCCCTCTTGGGGTACTTCAGATATGTTCTCTCTGTAATAGCACCAGTTGAGCTAAAACCAGCTTGAGATCTGAACGGGGACCCACCAAAGGGCAGGCTAATTGAGCTGTTGTCCAATCTCACCTCTCTTGCAACTTGTATTTCTCTTCTTAAGTTTAAAGGGCAATCCAGACTGTGTGTGTGCTCACGGTGCCTAGAGGGATATTGGCTATACCTCATTGATGATACCTTACAAGGTTGAAACAATCATCTATAGCAGATGTAGATTGTGTGTTAGTGTAGCGGATGCAGAGTGTGTGTTAGTGTAGCGGATGCAGAGTTTGTCAGTGTAGTGAATGCAGAGTCTGTGTTGTACTAGTGTATGCAGTTTGTGTAAATGTTGTGCACACAATAATTTCAATAAATTAAATAAAAGCAGGGAGGTTGGAGATTTCATTCCCTGGTAGCCCAGTGGCATGGCGCGGGCCCCTTGCTGTCTGTATACTGTAGAGGGGGCCCAGCACACTCTGTCTGCACATTACAGCTCCTCTCTCTCATTAACTCTCACAAGCATGGCTTGCGTGCCACGTGGGGCATTGCCATGATAACCAGTGGCAAGCTCAGACAGCCGTGGGTCTCGCGAGAGTTAGAGAGGAGCTGTAATGTGCAGACTGAGTGTGCTGGGCTCCCTCTGCGGTATACAGGCAGCCCGGGGGCCCACAGCTGCACATTTATATAGCGATAGTCGCTATATATGTGCACATAGGAAATGTGGGGCCCGGAACTCTCAGAACATCCAGGATCCCCGGCCCGTGACAACCGTCATGGTTGTCACCCCTTGATCGAAGCCCTGATTCCCAGTATGGCTGCTGTAATCTATGACGCTGGACGACCGTTCCCTTCCCAATATGGCCTCACGTACATTATTCCACTTTCACCAAAACCCACAACATAAGATGGCAACCACGGAGATTAGATCGGTCTGTGGCTGATCAAGCACTTCCCATTAGTTCCACCAATGTATAATGTGACTGGCCGTGATCTACGTTATCATTCCTCTCATTGCTGCCCAGTATGTAAACCGTGTTCATATCGGCATAGTTTACTCTATACTCAAAAATGTTCCCCATGAAGCTTAGTGTGAGTACCCGTGACATGGAAATGATCTCATGCTTCACGTGACTCTCTTTTTAAGCGAACTTAAAAGGACACTGTTGGCACCCAGGCCACTTCAGCCCATTGAAGTGGTCTGGGTGCCAACTCCCATCACCCTTAACCCTGAGCATGTAGTTATTGCAGTTTTTTATAAACTGCAATAATTACCTGCTAGGGTTAAGTCCTCCTCTAGTGGTTGTCTACCAGACAGCCAGTAGAGGGATGTCCGGGTTCTTATATGACTTTTGGTTGTCTAAATGACGCTGGACGTCCTCACGCTATGCATGAGGACTTCCAGCGTTGCCAGAATCCCCATAGGAAAGCAGTGAATAATGCTCTCCTATGGGGAGATCCTAATACGAGGCGGACGTCGGCGGGGAGGAGCGTGGGCAGAGGGGAGCCAGTGCCGAGAGACATCGGCGCTGGACCCAGGTAAGTGACTGAAGGGGTTCTTCACCTCTTCAGCACCGCGAGACGGGGCCTTGACAGAAGGGGAAACTACAGTGCCAGGAAAACGAGTTTCCTGGCACTATAGTTTTCCTTTAAAGCCCTCATTTTTGAAGTATTATACTAGTTTACAAATACACATATTTCCTATGATCCCTCCTTTTAGCAAATAAATAAATACTTGTTTGTAATACACTACACATTCCATTTGGATGCTGAGTTGGTCATATGATAGTTATGTAATTTTGGCGCCAAATTTGAATCTGTTTTGTTTGAAAGTCCTATAAATACTTTTACCAGCCAGGTGTACTGTTTCTTTGATGGTTTGCACACTTGATGAAGTCCTGCTTGGCGAAACATGTTGTGGATTATATTATCATTTAATTGCTGAATTAATAGAGGAATATAGGCTCCTTTTTATTTTAGTGTACCATATACCTTTCTTATATTATTGTATTTATTTATTTTTGTACACCTGGGGATTAAACCACCTACGCCTGATTCATAGAGCTGTCTGTATGCTCTACAAAGTGTGAGTAATATTTTTCTCATTTTCCTTTTTTTACCTAGGATAAAACAGCACTATATTTTTTTGTTTGAGAAATTTGGCCTTCACCTTGATTTGAAGTGAAGCTGTTAAACCTCTCCCTATACCATGTTTCTAAGAACCTGCTGTACTGTCTTTTCCATATAGACTGCATATATTGGACATTGCTATTGTGTATGGTTATCTTGCAATTTTTCTTTTGGACTTTTTAAGATTCATACAATATTTTTGTTATATGCTGACCTTTGCAATGGTTTTTTGAATAAGAATTTAACTTATATTGAGGTTTTACTATATATTTACTTTTGACGCAACCTTTGTCTTTGCTTTTTTGTTGCTGCACTCATATCTGAAATCTTTAGCAGATAAACCCTCTTTTTTAGGTAGCCATTCTACCCCACTCAGAGTAATCCACACACAAAGCACTTGCGAAGAATTAAAAAAAAATGGTGTGATGAAGAAAAATGTCCTGTGTGTGCTTTACCATTAGGAATCAATAAATAATAACAATATTAATATATATACTTTACAGTTTATTTTTATATATGTTTTCTTATAGTCAGTGCATCACAATGACTTAAATTCTTTAAAGTCTTCCTGCCCTCAGGCTACCTCCTCCAGTCCTGAGTAACCTGCACTACTGGGGGTGGAGCTTAACTATTTTTGCAGATA